AATTAATTATATTTGTGCTAGAATGATGAATTCAAGATGAGAAATTCTAATGGGGTTAATTTTTTACTCAATGCAGGAACAAAAAAATAAGAGTGGAAAGCTAAGAGCCAAAATGAACCAGAAAGCCATCTTAATTAACAATGAATAAGTAGGAGCACAAGAGTGCAATAAATTTCTATCATGCTTGGACTCTTCAAAACTTTCAATGGGTACGTGTAGGATTCTCTAAATGTAGTATAGTTTTATATAGAATCTGATATACTTCTAGAAAATCCAACACAAATATGACATAGAAAGTGAAGAGTTTGCGCAACTTAGGCAATAATGCAACAGATTGTCAGAGTGGACAGAGCATTATTATTTGCACCTCTGAGGCTTTGAAGATTATTCTAATACACCATTGAATTGTGATACTATATAGTCATTAGATATTGGGAAAATATAGCATTGAAAGAAGTCTTTTAAGGTTTTCACCTTCTACAAGCACAAATGACAACCTCAATTCATATGCAAGGACAACTAAAAATCTAACTTTTTAAAAAACTATACTGAACATGAACTAAAAGAACACTCATTTATTCATTATGAAGAAATTTTATGTCTAGCAATGGAAGATCTCCAATTATGTTTTATAGTAGAAAAAAATAAAGGAGAATGAACCTTAATCTGAAGTAGACGGACTTTGGTAGAACAAATCCTTGAACAATGAAGACCTACATCGAGAAAAATTATTGCAGGCAACAATAAATGAGCTATAACAAAAACATTCTCCATAAACAACTAGATGATTGAAATAAACATGAAAGGATATCTGAGAGGCAGAATAGTTGCAGGCAACCATAAAATTTTTAGCATTGGTTAGCTTAATGTTTTATCACTTAAACATATTTTATGATAGAGAAATCATCAACGAACCTTTCCCCTACCTTACGAGAAACTTACTTTATCGAAAGAAAATAAAAAGAAGTTTTCAAGTACTCTGACTACTGAATGCAATTCAAGGAATAGAACTGCAAGACTACTAGATTATAACACATCCTAAGTGTGCATGGCAGTTTGCAATTGGCAAATCTTATGACATCAGCTACATATGTTTAATTGCTAATACCATCATGTGTTTACTTATCGGCATCGTGCACTAAATTTTCACATCAATGATACCATGGAAAAGACACCACAGATAAATCATTTTCTACTAACTGACCGAGCAATCTTATCACCTCACGTGTTTTTTTGCATATAAATCTAGCATGCTAACAACATTTAGCCCAAAAGAAATCAGACGAGCAATAGAAGAAAACAAAATATGTATGAAGGTAACTACTATTCCCTTAAAAAAGGAATCTCTATACTAGCATGTGGACAGAGTGGCAACTTAAAAAACGAAAATCTGACACAATCATGCAGTTGCTTCAGTAAGAGAGCTCAAAAGGGTCTCACCCACCCCAGCTTTGCAAAGGGGACATGAGTTGTTGATTTTCAGCCACTTATCCACACAGTCCTGCTGGAAAAAATGAGAACAGGGTAACTCACTCAGCTCATCATTGTTCACATACATTGCTAAGTAAATGCAATATGCCTGTTAAACCAAAGTTAAAAAGGATTATACAGATGAACTGGTGGAAGTATGTCATCAAATAATAGAAAATGAAAAAAAACAGTTAAAAAATAGTATGACACCAAACAATAGATAATGGAAAAAAATATTACATAAATCAAAGGCATTGTGACAACAAGATTTTGCTAAAAGTTTTATTTTGGAGAAGATTATTGGTCTCTACATGTTAGTAGACCATGTCACTCAGAAGTTCAGAACATTCTTAGCCCTTAGGCATATGAGAAGCATACTGACTTTCTACTCATGATAGTATAAACTGAAATAGAACTAGAATATCAGGATCTCTTGTACATAGGTCAGTTCCGACAATACTTATCAGTCAACAGTATGGATATGAGAACCATCTACCACAATAATTTAAAATGGGGGCACAATATAGGTGACAAACCAACTCAAGAAAAACATGTAAACCAAGTAACTCTTGGAGATTTAAGTACGTGATCAAATTATTCTCTATGGCTAGTGAAATAGATTAAGCCACTTTTAACCAATGAAAACTCAACTAATAACAAAAGATTTTATGCAAGTAGAGGTGTTATGATCTGACAAGAAGATATACAATTAGTGAAAAATTAAAACAATATACAATTAGTGATGTACATACACATGAATTTAATGGGTGATTCAACTGCTTGTGTGAGAATGTAAACAAGTTCCATTGAATGAAAACACATCTCCATGTTAACAACTGTGAAATATCTGCAACCACAAATAACTACAGAACTATAGAATATACATGGAAGTACAACGAAATATAACGGTTTATATTCACAAAGATACAATAGAAAAAGTCATCAAAGTTGCGCCTAAGAAAAATAATACTGTAAATTGGATAATTGAAATTTACCTTGAAAGTGTGATGCACATTGGCATGATGATTCGGGCAAAGAATGTCACTGGTTGGTTATTTTTATGGGCAACATTTGCGGCACTTTCATTACCTACAAATTTTTTAGCCCAAAATTCTGAACAGGATAGATGTAATTCATGAGAAATTTCTGCCGAACAAAAATCTAACCAAGTAAATGAGAAATCTGCGATGTTAGGGTCACCATTTTTATTCGGAAAAACTATCTAACTTAACATACATCACTATCATATATACTCATTTTACCTCTATTTTCAAACAATTACATATATTATCATTTTTAATATTTTATACCATATATTTTTTAAGATACAATAAAAAATACCCACATCCCTTAAAATTAGGATTGATTAATTATCTTTATATTTAAAATTCACAATTAGTGTTTGAATAACAATCAATCTCCAACCCCATCAATATCTCCCCCACCCCTACTAATTAACGATTAGTCAACATTTTTACTCCTAAAATTGTTTCTGCGGCCACCAACCAGAAGTTATGTACAAGTTGTTCATCAATTTCTTGCTTCTTACCTTCCTTAAATTAAATGTATCAATGAATATTCATATAATTAATCTATAGCCTTTCGTTTTCAAATTGTTACTATCCGGAGCACGTCGGAGGCGATTTGGAGGTCGAAAGGCTCAATTGGAGGAGTGCTTATGTTGAATTTTCGGTTGATCTGGTGGAGGTCCGTTAGATCTAATCGCAACGAGCAATGATCAACATCAATAAATTAAAAAGTGAAGCAAACACCGCCGTGGTGAGATGTCCTGACCAACCAATAATGTAATCGAAAGTTTCAATAAGTGGAGATTTAAACATATTTTTGATACATTATCAATGTATCTGACTCATAACTTTTGTGATTATATGTATCTAGTTTTATCAGTGTATCTGATTAAGTATGCATATATCTAATCTTTCTTGGGTATTAATTTTGATTTTTAAAAAAAATTAATGATAGACAAATACTCTACAATCGTGATTTGCTCCTAAATTCATGTGTTTCAGTTACATTTCATATTTAGATACACATAATTAAATGTGTCTCCTTACCAATATGTATTCGAGATACATGTTGTTGGATATAACGTATGAAATTGATACTTGATATATCAAATTAATACTAGATACATATAAATAGATACATGAATTTTAATATTAGATCATATAAATAGATACATGAATTAATACTAGATACCGTACACTAATGTATCTAAGTGTTTATTTTATTGGATACATCATATATTGATAATAAATACATCAAATTAGTGAATTTATTATTTTAAGGGTAATAAGTTGAAATTAATCAAATTTCATAACCAAGATATACATGTTTTTGTCTTCTATTAATGAATTTATTATTATAAAGGGTAATAAAATGAAATTAATTAAATAAAGATACACTCCTTGATTTCCGTCTTATATTAAGGAATTTGATTAATATTTCCAAAATTAATTAATTATCCATGTGAATTAATTAAACATGTATCTCAATTTTTAAAACTATTGGATACATGTATCTGACGAGTAATGATACATGTATCTAAAGGAAGAAATATGGTACAAGAAGTAATTTTCGAAACTCTCGTGAATTCTAGTAATTAGGACCTAAACTAGTGGGATTTATGTAGTTTGCCCTTTTTATTAATCTACGGGGCACCTACATAGCTCAATGTGTATATACTTTTATTATAATTAAATTAAAAAAATATTTTTTATTGAATTAATTACATAAATCCCACATTTTAGTTCACGTATTACCATTATTCCATATAAGTTTTACAAATCTCCAAAATCCTTCATTTTCACACATCAAATTAGTGTATCTCGCGCATCAGATTA